CCCTGGATAGTTACCCTGCCCCACTTGGTAATGCCCAATGCAATTGCCTCTTTCAGACCTTTTTTTTTTTTCCTCTCCTTCCTTTTAGATTGCCCAACGGCTCCTTTGAACCCTGCCTCGTTGGTGGCCACTGGAGAAGCGCGGGGGGCTCCCCAGACAGCCGTGGGGAGAAGTTAGAGCCAGCACTTTACCCCAGGCCTCGCGTGTAGCGTTCCCTCCCCCTGCTCAGGTGCCCCAGTGTCCTGAGGGGAGTTTTGGGGTGTGCCCTCCGTACACGTCCCAAGCCCCGGGTAACCTTCCCGGCTTGTGTTCCATCTCTGTTTGGGCTTCCTGCACAGTGGTCGGGGGCCACTACTTTGCATCATGTCCCGGTATAGCTACCAAAATCTCCTGGATTGGCTCTATGGGGGCGTGGACCCCAGCTTTGCAGGCAATGGGGGCCCCGACTGTGCTGCCTTTCTCTCTTGGCAGCAGCGGCTGCTGGAAAGTGTGGTGGTCCTGACCCTGGCCCTGCTGGAGATCCTGGTGGCCCTGCGGCACATCCTGAGGCAGACGAAGGAGGACAGTAAGGGTGGCCGTGGCAGCCAGCCAGAGCAGGTGACCCAGCGGCCAGAGGAAGGCAAGGAGAGCCTGAGCAAGAATCTGCTCTTAGCAGCCCTGTGCCTGACCTTCGGGGTGGAGGTGGGCTTTAAGTTCGCCACCAAGACCGTCATCTACCTGCTCAACCCCTGTCACCTGGTCACCATGATGCATGTGAGTCTGTTGACTTTTTCCTGGGCAACCAAAGTGCTAGAGTCAGGTGTGTGCTCTGGCTACTCGGCTGTTTTGAGCACCTCATCCCAGTGGGGAGTGGGCCCCTTGAAAAATGATTTTCTAATGAATGCCTACCAGCATGTCAACTATAGCATTGGCACCCCGCCCACCCTCCCCAGTTTTGCACAATGTGTCAGCCCCAGAGTGGAGGTGGGGGACATTGTGCTGGGAACCCTAGGGACGATTGCCATTGAGGCCTGCAACCCCTTCCCTCTCAGCCCTGTGTAGGTGACCTAGCAGCAAGTCCAGCCCCTCCCCACATGCTCATCCTGCATCCATCTGTGGACAATGGGCCCAGCCCCCTTGGCCTTGTGATACTTTATTTCCCTGGGGTCTGGTGACACTCTTTCCTCAAGGTAGTCACATTAGTGTCCTAGTATTCACTGTGGGGATCATACTTTGCTGGGTTTCTCTTCATGACTCTTTCACTAGGGAGGGGGCACTCTTAGAATGAAGCCGGCCTCTGAATTCGGAGGGGTTGGAGCACCACTGGTTTCTTATAAACTGTCCCCTGAAACAGGCCCCAGACTGACTGAGAGGAATTTGGGGGCTGGTGGTCCCCTTGTCCATATGTGAAAGGGTGTTTATTTGCTGGGCACACCTCTCCATCTCTTCACTCTCTTGTCTTCTGTGGGAATTTATGGTCCTAGGGTACTCCGTGAGCTGCTGGCTTACCCTCCTCACTGTCCACCTATTAGCTCTGCTACACAAGATAAATGGGGTCGGAAAGTCATGTGGCCAGCACCATACAGATCATCCCGGTGAGGACTGAGAGCCAGAGTGTCTGCCTGGACTCGGCTTGGGGCGGAGAGATGCTCTAAAGCTGAAGAGGAAGGGGAAGGGGAAAGGAGAGAAGGGGGAAGAACATCCTTCCTTTTTTCGATTTCAGGCTGTGGAAAGCCTGCTGCGTTTTATCCCGCGACAATCTTCAAAGCTGTCACTGGCATCGGGTTGCTTTCATATTTGTAGAAAGTTATTCTCAGGAGACTTGTGAATGCCTCCGGTGGGGCCGGAGGTGGAGATCATTGTCCCTATTTTACAGGCCTGGCACAGTTCAGAAAATGGGAGGTCACTTGCCTTCAGTCAAAAGATGAATTACCATGTGAGTTGGAAAGCCAATGCACACCCTCTTTGGGGCTGCAGGCTGTCACTGGAGAGGCAGGGTCTTCGCCAGGGGAGGCGCAGACACTTGCTGGTTGTGTGTTTCTTGCAACTTGCGTGATGGCAGTTTCCTGGCTTAAATTTGCTAGTCTGTCAAAGACAGTGAGTGGCCTCCGGTCCCTTTCCTTCTGGCAGATGTGGCCAGGAGGTGTGGGCAGCTTTGGAATCCAGAAACGGTCATGGATTGATGCACCCAAACACCCCCACCCCACCCCCGCATCCCCAGTAAGCATCAAGCAGGGATATGGATGGAGTGGACAGAGCTTTTGAAGAGAAGGCTTCTTGAAGTGATGCCATTCAAACAAGCCCAGCGTTCTCTCACCCAGCTAGAGAATATCTGTGTAAAATTTAAGCCAATTCCCTTTCTTTTTCATGAATGGACTTTTTTGTTAATGAGAGGAAACAACGCATCCCGGCAGCTGCTGTGTCAGGCTTTCTGGACAGGAGTGCTTATTTTGAACGGCAGGTGGTGGGGTCCAGGGGGTGGCTCTTCTACAAATGGGGCCTGGGGCCTCTGACAACCGCATATCTAGAAGGTCAACAAAGGACTAAATTCAGCCTGTCTGAGACTGTTGCTAAGGAGCCCTGATGGCACAGTGGGCTAAGCATTGGCCTTCCAACCAGAGAGTTTGTGCTGCGGGTCCACCAGCCACTTGGCAGGAGAAAGATGAGGCTGTCTGCTCCCCTGAAGAGGTACAGCCGTGCAAACCCACAGGAACTGTTCTGCTCTGTCCTCCAGGGCTGCTCAGAGTTGGAGTGCACTTGATGGTGATGGCTTGTGGTTTGGGCTGGGCTGAGGCTACCGCTGTGTGATGGTATCCCTGGGTGTAGTGGGAAGGTTGTTGGAAGTTTTTAGAGGCTGCCAGAGACTGAATTCTGTATGGTTGTGTGACTTTGGGAGAGTACCCTTTCTGAAGTCAATATGGAAATTGTGTCAGGATTGTAAGCCTAGCCTTCGACAGGTTCTTGGCTCTGTCGACAGAGGATGGGGCTGCAGCAGGAAGCTCTTCTGAAATGCGCCTCGCTCCTTGGGTGGGTGGAACAAGGAAGCTGGTATCTTCTCTGAGGAATCAGGTGGCCAACCCTGTTTAATTTTTGCTCCCTGTTTCTCTTCAGTGAAGTAAAGCTGACCAGGCTACCCCTGGGGACACATGTAGATGATGATGGCCCTTGGAGCTGGCAGGGACACAGAGATGGATGTTTGGGGGACAATAGGCTGCTTTCTGTCACCTGTGCTATTTTTATGGTGTTGTGCTAAGGGACTCTGGTGGCGCTGTAGGTTTGATGATGGGCTGCTAACCACAAGGTTGGTGGTTCAAGCCCACTAGCCGCTGTGTGGGAGAAAGATGAGGCTGTCTGCTCTCCTAAATATTTATAGTCTCAGAATCTAAATATTTATAGTCTCAGAATCTTCTGTAGGGTCACTGTGAGTCACCATTTTACTGAGGAATTCATAAACGTGTTTAGGATTATACTCCTTTGCCCTTTACTCCCAAGTCTCCGCTTTGTCCCATTTAAACAGTAAACCCCTGGCTTACGAGGGGATCTAGCTATCAATGAAGCCTACTTTGCAGCCCTTCTATAGGCAGTGAAAATAATATGCATTTTTCAAAGTTGACGTGAGTCCTTAATGAAAATACAGCGGGGACTTCAAAAGGTTCAAGGAGAAATGGATGAAAAGATCACCACCCCCCTTTGAAACCCCCTTGTCTACTAACAGAAGGTTAAAAGTAATTTTCTGACTGGTTGCAGCCATGGCTTGTGATCATATATCTGGCTAACAATGTCTGACATTTATCTAGCACTTCCCTGTTTGTAAGGCACTTCCACATGCATTATCTTATTTAGTGGTGTGATAGATTAGCCTGGCCTTGGAGAAGCAGGTTAGAATGTTTCCTGTGATGGTGTGTATGCCCAAGGGAAGATAATGAGCACACAAAGAAAATGCTTTGGCAAGTGAAGGAGGTGAATTCAGCTATCTTATGGAAGTTAGTTCACTGGGGGTTCAAGGTCCTGACAGGGAAAGGGAAGCATTTGCAGAAGGGAACAAGATAACTTCGAAACCCTTTCATTGTGTGCCTTTCGATAGAAGGATACCAAGAGGCCTGCTTTCTCAGAAAGTAAGTGTATGTTACTCTTACATCTGGGTGGTATTCTTTTCAGGCCAGGAAGTAAACTTGGAGAGAAAGCCGTTTGTCTCCCCAGCTCCCATTTTTATTGTAGTCAGCAAATATCCCCAAGGTGGTACAGTGGTTACACACCGGGCTACTAACCCCAAGGTCAGTGTTTCAGACCCAAACTCCATGGGAGAGAGGTGTGGCAGCTAACTTCCAGAAAGATTCACAGCTGTGGAAACCCTATGCGGGTAGCGCTACTTTGTCCTAGAGGGTTCTTATGGGTGGACTCTACCTGACAGCAGTGTGTGGATGTTACCAGACTGTCACGGCCACACTGCCTTTGGGGAACAAACTGCCAACTTGAAGAGCACATGGAAAGGCAGAACTATGTCCAAGTTCTGTTCTTGATTAATATTCCTGCTGTCGGGCTTCTTTTTGGGCCCTTCTGATTTGTCAACCACCTCAGGACTGGAAAATGATAAAAGACTTGCAGGATTGAAACAATAGCATCTTGTATTTAAATGGCAGCCAGAGATCTTTGCGGTACCACAAGCTTAAAACCCCATCGCAAAATCCCTTGTTAAATGTCAGTAGTATTTACCAATTAGACCAATGCGTAGTTCTTCAAGCCTGGATAGTTCTTTTCTGCAAATTCTTTCAGCAGGTCTGGGTGACAAAGACCCACGGGGGCCAGTCTACCCTGTCCTATAGGGTCTCTGGGAGTCGGCATGAATTTTGATGGCAGTGATTTTGGTTCGGTTTTTGGTCGGGTAACAATGAGCTTATCAAGTGATCTCATTGTTTACCGTTAGTGGCAGCACGTAAGTGGCAGAAATGGCTTCAGGACTCAGCTGCTACAAGGGGCCTGGAAGCTTTAAGCACGAAGAGATTCTGATGGCTGTGTAAGTTCTAAAAATCTCATTTCTCAGAATCAGGGATTCAAATGGCAAACTGAATGTACTGAATGTACCAGCAAAGACAGATGGGAACCACTGGCTTGATTCTGTCTCCTCGCTACCCTGGATGACAGAGGCGAACTGGTGCATCGGGTCCCCCAGGCTCTAATCATTCAGGGAGCAGATTGTCAAAGTCTTTCTCTTCTGAAGCCACCAGTGGGTTCCAATCACCAACTTTTGGGCTAGCAACTGAGTGCTTAACCACTGGACCACCAGGACTCGCTCTCTGCATGACCCTATGTATCCAAAGAATCTGGTTATGTGATCTTTATCATAGGAACTTAACAGGAAGATGCTATTTTGTTTGTCTGGTTCTAGTCCAGTGCCTTTTGCGTCTGTACGTGTCTGTGCCCACGTCTTCTGATTGGACCCTGAACTTCACAGGGAACAACATATGTCATTCAACCCTCCATGCCTATGCACATACGGCTAGCTGTATCCCAGGTGGACATATGGCAAATGATAATTGATGTTATTGATCCCTTAGCCCCAAGCCACTGGCTTTTAGCCAGCCATATTAAGCTTCAGTTTCATCTTCGCTCTGCCCTCCCCCCCTACCACCCTGCACCACTAGAGCAGCTGTTCCTCTTCTCTTTGCTTCCCTTTTTCAATTGTATTACAAGTCTGATTTCTGACAAATATTCGTTGCCTGCGCTTGGGGCTCATTCTTGGACCATCTTCCCGCTGCCCTCCTGGCTAAGAGTTC